CTTTTAGCAATATTCCAGCAATATCACGGCGGGGGACACCAGAAATGGGCTTCACACATCTGTAAATATGAAGAATGTCTCACACATTTTAGGGAGGTGAGATTCAATGGCTTGATATTCAAGGTTATTCCCATAGCGACGTGCATCACGTGCATGTGTGGCTGATTGTACAAGTCTGGACTTAATTCGGTTCATGGTCACTCTGAGATACCATGCCATAGTTTAACATGAATAAGTCACATCATAACGACTCTAAGAAGACCAGTCCTTGTTTTATCCCCTTAATGCCGAGCACAAGGCAGGGTAACAACAAGTACCATCTTTTAACATCTCTTGGGATGATGCAGCATAGGGATCGAACCAATTCTCCAGGCAGATGCTCTATCCACTGAACCATCGGGACAGTCTACGTATTTCAGACATGTAATACTGTGGGTGAGTGAGTGGGTTAATGCTTTACGTCACATCGGCAATATTTCAGCCATATCGTGACCATGTAATACTGTGGGACACAGCATGTAAAACATGGTAAACCTAGTCGATACGATGCATAGATTTGCAAGCATATTATCATGAATCATATCTTTTTATATTGAATACAAAACAAAATTGTGGATCTTTACATGTTTACAAGTTTTACAATAAACAAAATCCGAAAACGGACCATATTGACAAAATTCTTCATGGTTTCAAAATTATATTTTTTTGTAGCTCACTAAGTGCAATTATCCAGTTTCATGTTGACTCAAAATTGGTCATGAACGCTCACTTTGTGCGACGATGCAAAACCGTGAACCAAGGTTTCGCTCCCCTGACGATAAAAAAACCTTTGTTGCGCAACACAGAAATCAACTGAAAATAATTTTGAGAGCCAAATTTGAGCTAGTAGCCTCAAAAGATTTTGGCACAGACTGATATTTACTGCAACATGTCTGAAATATACACAAGAAAATATGGACTGTCATTTATATTTTATAGCTTAGTACTTTGTTTACTGACACGTGAAGAACTGGGTTAATATGGGTCTTCAGCAACCCATGCTTGTCGAAAGAGGCAACTAACGGTATTGAATGGTTGCAGATTGAGGGAATTGTGTAGATCGATGCTCATGATGTCAATCACTGGATTGTCTGGTTAAGAATCGATTATTTACAAACTGCTATCATATAGCTGGAAAATTGCTGAATGCGGCATCAAACAAACAAACAAACAAACGAACAAACAAAACAGGTTTACAAAAAGATTGGAGTGAGTGAGTGAGTATGGTTTAACGCCGTTTTTAGCAATTTTCCAGCAATATCACGGCGGGGGACACCAGAAATGGGCTTCACACATTGTACCCATGTCGGGGATCGAACCCGGGTCTTCGGCGTGACGAGCGAACGCTTTAACCACTTGGCTACCCGACCGCCCACAAAACGATTGGAGTAGAAGCTGGTCAGCTGATGTTTATTGGTGCGGGGGGCTTACTAAGGTGAATACGGTAGGTTATTTGCAAAACTAAATCAAATCAAATTTCTAAAATCCAATAAGAAAATATTTCAAGTTCAGTGAACAAAATATATGACTCAGTATACGACATGACATTCCCTCAGCAGTGGCAACAGGACTGTGACAATAACAGAATCAATGGCCTGCCTGTGTAACATGTGGCAGTCTTTGATCACTTGCGGCAGATCGCTTCATCAATATGTACAAATCCCCAGCCTCCGTGCCGGCAACACGATTCACGGGGTTTATTTCAACCTTCCTTTACCACCTGGATCATAGTGTTCAGGAAAACATGGTACACAAAACTGGAATGTTTCCAAAGCTTCATAAACCATTTCCCCTATAACATGGTTATAAGGTTCATCCTGTACAGTGTTGCAGTGTCAGGCACCTAGGCTAGTCTTAGACCAACTAACATCAACTGTATTGGATATATTTGTTTCAGGGTCTGTATAACAGTGAGTGAGTGAGTGAGTGAGTGACTAACATCTACTGTATTGGATATATTTGTTTCAGGGTTTGTATAACAGTGAGTGAGTGAGTGAGTGAGTGAGTGAGTGAGTGAGTGAGTGAGTGAGTGAGTGAGTGAGTGAGTGAGTGAGTGAGTGAGTGAGTGAGTTTGGTTTTTACACCGCTTTTAGCAACATTTCAGCAATATCACGGTGGGGGACACCAGAAATGGGCTTCACACATTGTACCTATGTCGGGAATCGAGACCCGGGTCTTCGGCGTGACAAGCGAAAGCTTTAACCACTAGGCTACCTGACCGCCCCCTGTATAACAGGCTAAGGCTAGTTTTACAATTGTGCATTAAGCAAACGTTCAGGAACGCAGCCTTGTTTGTGATATTACTTGTTCAGTAAACTCTGCAGCTAAATATAACTTGCCCGGTTGACTAGAGCTTGGGGACATGGCTCAAAGTGGAGGTTTTTTTCTTGGTAGTCATGGCAATGTGTTCGAAGACAGTACAATTTCAAGAGCAGTGAATGACATAAGTCAAAAATCAAAATGAACGAGGTGACCAGTTACCTTTCACAATCCCACAGCATATATTACTGGCCCTTATTTCAGGAGTACAAACTGACAATTACTATAAAGTGCAATATGAGTGCTACAAAACGCGTTTATTTTCTTTGTATTTAGCTGTTCTGATTAGCACATATTTAGACAAAACTGAGGATTTGTGATTTCAAGCCAAGGAGGAAAAATAGTGATTAGAGATATTCCTTTCACGCATTCTTCTTATTGAATCACATTTTTGAACTCTAAAGTTTAAAAAGTTACCAGACAGGCAGGATAGGGGGTTTGAAAGATAATTGCCTCCCCGTAGAAAACTATTGGCCTGAGGTGAGTGGGAAGGCAGAATTTACAAACGCTGTTCCTGGGCAACCAATTTCAAAATGAAACATGACAAAGCAATATAAATCAGACTTTCCTGTAGGCGTGAGAAGTGTGAAAATATGTTGGAAAACATGTTATTTGATAGGCATAATAGCTAATGGTCCCCAGCAAAGATCTCACTCCTATGACTATCATAAGTCCAGTCTGAGCCATACACTTTTGAGAACTAGCCCGAACATGGCTCTTAGCATAATTTTCAGTATGATTTAGTGTTTTTTTACACTATTATTAGTTGAGCTTATAAGACTCAGGCTTCGAATTAGTTGCTAATGTCACAGACTGAAGATCCGGGGTAGAATAGGTCTTCACAAACCCATGTTTTCTGTAAAAGTCGACAATGTTTCTCGTAAGAGGCGATGAACGGGATCGGGTGGTCAGCTCGTTGACTTGGTTGATGAATATCATCGTATCCAAATTGTCTAGATCGATGCTCATGATGTCAATCACTGGATTGTCTGGTCCAGACTCGATTATTTACAGACCGCCGTCATATAGCTGGAATATTGCTGAGTGCGGCGTTAAACAAACAAACAAACAAACAAACAAGCAAAACAACCCCAGACTGTATGTCTATGTTAGAGTATGGGAGTTACGACCGTCATTATGCTAAGACAGCTTTGTGGGACAGGTCCCTGGTCCCTTCATTGTAATAGTATGACTGTTGCAGTCTCATACTGACAAAGCAGTAGCACTAACAGTGCATTGTGGGACCAGTCCTGCAGACTTGTCGCCACAACAAACCCTGACTGATATGTATGTACATGTCAATCTTGTCTAACATCGTAATAATTTTCATAAGGGATCATTAGCTAGATAATGTCTGTTGAATTCAGGGAATCGCACACAGCCCACAGACACGATCAATTTCCCCATACAGCCATCATATCCTCCTCGTCTACAAATGGAAAGAGTTCTACACTATCATCAGTCTAAAACAGATTGCCTTATGTTTAACGATCTTTGCTACAACACAAGTTACTGAATAATCAACTATTTTCCTCATGATATTACTATTCAGGGTGGCAGACAACTTGACGTTGACTTTTCCTTGCATGGCAAAGCGCAAACTAGAAAATCCCAGTGTTGCAGTATTCACGTTGATGATGAATGAGTATGGTCTTAAGCCGCTTTTAGCAATATTCCAGCAATATCACGGCAGGGGACACCGGAAATGGGCTTCACACATAGTACCCATGTGGGGAATCAAACCCGGGTCTTTGGCGTGACGAGCGAATGCTTTAACCACGCCCCTCGTGTTTATGATGTCATGTGATATATCCAATCACTCATACAGTGCCTTGTAACAGTCATAGCATTTACACTACTTCATTGAGCAAGGAACAGTCTGGGCCCCACAACGTATTTAGCACTTCCATTGTAGCCTGCATACTTTAACATAGACTTGCAACAGCTGCAGCACCAACAGGGCTTTGTGAAATACTTCACAGGGCAGGGGGTCATTGTACAAAACAACCTAAGTGCTACGACTGTTGCAAGTCTATGTTAAGGAATGCAGGTTACGATCACCTTACAGCGGTAGAAAGTAACAGTTTTCGTCCACTAATCCTTATGATGATAACATATAGCAAAACCCTTAAAAAGGGCAAATTTCTACTTGTCATTATGATACCTTTACCATTGGGCAGTTTAGCAAGGACACTAGGACTAGTGCCAATTTCTAACGCTGCCTTAGCAGTAATATTGCTTTGTACAATGGCGCCCTGGACTGTGCCACCATTGTTGTAAGTGAGTAAGTTTGTGTTCATGCTGTTTTGAACAGTATTTTAGCAATATCACAGCATGTCAGCTAGATGTGGGAGGAAAGCTTAAACTGATACAGGTCTTAGATATTTACCCACGAGCACAATAGTGGTTCTGACACCTAAAAACAATTGTGGCAAACTGGAATCCTGGTATGCCAAAGGGATGCAACTCTGCAGAACTAACTGCGGTACCATAAACAACTGGGATGCTAGTGCCCCCTATAAGTTTAAACATGGGAATAAAGGTGATGTTAGCACTAAAATCACTTCGTGGAACGAGGCCCTTATAAAAGTCCACTCGTATTTGTCAAGTAGGACAGCATTATTGTGAAACAGGATCCCCACCTTTGGTCGCATCCAAGCCACTCCTGCTAGTTTCCCTTTCGTGTAGAAGAGAGACCTGTCATCGGGAGGGAACTCGGAGTCGATGAAGAGCGTCCCCTTCTCCTTGCACTCCTTCTTGAGGGCATTGTAGTCCTGGCCCTTGTACTTCTTGACGGTGTCAAACAGACCCATACTGGAAGCTCCCTGCTAGCACTGCACCTGAAGGTAACCAGGTCACAACATTAGGCTAAAAACAAAAAATCTTGGTTCTCAGGCACCGCCCGCTTCATCACAAAGTCTGTTTTGTTTTTATTTCCATTTTTAAAAAAAACCTACAAATCCTTAAACATTCCAAATCCTACAGTAATCAAATACTGTATTCTACTATTTTACTCATCAAGGTTGGTTGGTTGGTTGGTTTGTTGTTTAACGCCTCACTCAGCAATATTCCAGCTATATGATGGCGGTATGTAAATAATCGAGTCTGGAACAGACAATCCAGTGATTGATATCATGAGCATCGATCCACGCAATTAGGATCGATGACATGTATCAACCAAGTCAGCGAGCCTGACCACCCGATCCCGTTAGTCGCCTTTTACGACAAGCATAGTCGCCTTTAACGGCAAGCATGGGTTGGTGAAGACCTTTTCTACCCCGGAATCTTCACGGGTCTACTCATCAAGGAATACATTTATGTAGGGAGGCACTTTCCCAGGTTGATTGTTCACAACTTTTCATTTGGTTACACAACTGTTTATTTGTTTACATACTAGTTTGAACAAAAAGAAAAGAAAAAGATACTGCCCGCCCGAACTATATTTTCAAAAACCATTGCCTGAGAACGAAATTCTTTTATTTTATTAAGCCATAGCCATATATGAGTGTTCATGTCATACTATGTTTACGACACGAGTGTCTAAATTCCGGTATTTCCCGAGCAAGAGCGTGTGTCGTAAACATAGTATGACATGAACACGAATATCATGTTCTATTTATTACAGAAGAAGATGTCTACATACAGGGACCAATTTTAATGATTACATACAATGACAGCAAGTCTCAACAGCAGCAGAACCACAATTTGTGCGATGACGTCACAATCTTCAGCTATGACATCGTTTCTAGAGTGATGTCATTCCGACCTCACGTCACAATAAGATTCAAATGACATCAACATTCTGTCCGGATGACAGATACAATACACTGTTGTCTCGTGACGTGATATGACCCTAGGGCACATTTTTATGAACCCCAATATGTATGCCCTCGTAGGGTATGTGCGCATGTTCCTGCACGATCTGCATAAATCATCAGAGATCTCAGATTCTAAAATTAAGACTGTTGCAACTTTGGTAAATTTATGGGACCAGGGTGCATCCTGTTTTTTGTCTGGTGCAACTAGGTTTTCATGTTATGCACCTGGGCCCACTTGCACAAAGCGATCTTAGCGCTACGACTATTGTAAGCCTATGTTAAAGTATGGGAGTTACGATCATCTTAGCGCTAAGATCGCTTTGTGCAAGTAGGCCCTGGTGCAAGTTAATTCAAAGATCCTTAAATTGAGCCAAGAGAAATACGCATGGAAGCCCAGGGTCCTTTCTGTAACTATTACCCTGATGTTCAGGGTCACTGCATGCAAACACCTGGTGCTACACCAGCAGAAGTCCTCCATTTTTTTACTAAAAACCTAGGCAAGTCTAGATCAAACTAACCAAGTCTAGTTTGCTAGATTCCACAATGAAAACAGCAGAAGAGGAAAGGTTCTTTCAGAAATTCTTTTTTAATTATTTTATAGACATGTTTTCATTGACTATAAGTGTTAGTCTACACTAGCAGGTTTCAAACGCCTCTCTTCTCCAGTTTTTTGTGTCTACCCAGAGAGGTTGGGGGTTGGACTCGGGTCAGCCAATATGACATGTCCGGTTGTGTGCAATGCATTAGCTCCTGTGAACTATGTTCACTGGGCCTTTTTGTAAATAGCCTAATTGCAGCACTAAAAAAAGTTATTACTGGTGTTGTTTTGCAATCTGCAGTTTATGATAGAATATGTAACTGTATTTGTTATGAGTAAGGATGGGACATATGGACAATCAACTTCTTTATTACAATTAGGAGTGATGGTTTCGGTGTAGGTTCTAACACCGTTATCAAGCAAGTGAAGTACAGAGTATAGTTGACAAGAATATATACAGGATAGGAGGCAGTGTTTATACAGCTGAGCAGGTTTAAGATCAGTTACACTGTTGTATTTGTAATGAGTTGTGTTTCTGCATGAAGTTAGTCAGTGAATGCAACACCCGTGTCCATGACACTTTTGGAGGAACATACACACTAGACCTATCTATGTGCCAAGTTTGGTGAAGAAATATGGTACGGTTTTCAAGATCTGCTCCGGAAACAAGGACTACCGCCATTTTCAGTCTAAATCAAAGTCGTTGCCGTGGAAACTCGAAAAGTAATTTTAAAAAAAATACCAATCTATCAAAAGGCACCAGTTCACCACTAGACCTATCTATGTGCCAAGTTTGGTGAAGAAATATGGTACGGTTTTCAATATCTGCTCCGGAAACGAAATGTGACGGAAGGACGGACCGACGGATGGACCCCATTCCTATATCCCCCTTCCTGGCGGGGGATAATAACTATTATCATCAATGGGACCATTACATACAAGTCCCTTCAAACCACACAATCTTGAGTCTATCTCATATTGCTATATAGAGAACTGTAATATCATGAATGTTTGTTATGTTGATATGTTTTAAATTATAAAAAATGAGGCAATAATAAAACAATCTTATGTAATATTTTCTAAGAAAGCCTTCATTCACTTCCTCAACTGAAAAGGAGGTTATCAACCAAATAGCACACTCGCTTTTCTTAAAAATAATACCAGTGAAGATCCAGGTTAGAATAGGTCTTCAGCAACCCATGCTATTGGTAAGAGGCAGCTATTGTGACCGGGTGGTCAGGCTCGCTGACTTGGTTGATGTATGTCATTGTATCCCAATTGCGTGGGTTGATGCTCATGATGTCAATCACTGGATTGTCTGGTCCAGATTTGATTATGTAAAGACCGCCGTCATATAGCTGGAATACTGCTGAGTGCGGCGTTAAACAACAAACAAATCTTGTCAATAATAAGTTAAACGAATAAATTGAGAAAGTAATGTTCCAGAGATTTGATGAGATACACACTACAGCATTCCAGACTGCTTTCTCCCCCCCGAGTAGCTGCACCAAAGCCCATACAATGGCTGTGCACAGCTGCAATGATGATTATTACATAATGCATAGCGTTTACCTCATTTCCCAGAGAGGGAGAGATTTGCCTAACAAGATAATAACAGTGTTGGGTCTCTGGTTGCTAGGCAACAGCAACAAAACAAAATGGTAAGAATAGCTGTAAACTCGACCTGCATCCAGCACCATGACTGTGAACTAACAAACACCAAGTAACACAGTCGTGAAGAAACCTTCAACCCAGTTTACAGTGACCTACACGTTATCATGGTAGGAGGTCTGAAGCAATGGTCAGGGGACATTCAGCATTGATATACGAATGTCATATGCTCTGTTTATAATCAGTGTCTACTGCTATTAACATCATTCAGTAATGAATATATTGCGGGTGAGTTTGAGCATTTGATTGTTTAAAAAAAGCAATTATTTGTCATAAACCGAAAACAAAATAGTCCGAGCCCCGGTTAACTTAAGGACTACAGTTTCCTGATTGATAATAGAACGGGCGGGGCATGTGATGACATTATTGTGCTGAATGAAGTCAACGACTTTGTATGTTTTTTTTTCAATTTTTCTTTGTGTTAATGATATAAATAAGCAGACTGTGAAGTTATAATAATTGACGAATATATTTATGAGAATTGACTTTAAAAAGTTTTTGCGTTTTGGGAGTTATAAACGTCAAAACCGATGTGCACACTTTGCATTAATATGCTATGTGCATCGGTTTTATGCTTCAACCACCACATATGGCAGATACATAGACTAACATCTAGTCTCTGAAATGAACATGTCTTACAGAAAAATAAAACAGTTGTCAAATTATCTTAATAAGATATCATTAAAAGGAGCCAAGAGACTCTCTTCATTTTCAGATCCTGATACTGTAGTAATCTAGACTTGCCAAACATTATAGACTTGCATGGGCTGTATTTGATATATTTGTATCAGGGTCTGTATGACAGACTATAGCGTGCTCTCCAAACCATGATGTTTTATGTTGCCTATTCCTTGTGTATTATAGGCATATGACAGTTTTCTGTTGCAGTCTGTCAGTTTTCATTGGTAGGCCTGCATAAGAAGACCAATCTTTACCTCAGACCTAGCAGAACAACTGTCACAGTGACCCACTGACGTAGATCACTACTCACCATTATCATTATAGTATTGATCACCGCTGTACTGTAAGGGTCACTCTGACAATGTTAGCTGTACTTACAACAGCAGGAGGCGGTCAGATAGCCTAGTGGTAAAAGCGTTCGCTGGTCACGTCGAAGACCCAGGTTCCATTCCCGACATGGGTACAATGTGTGAAGCCCCGGTAATTTCTGGTGTCCCCCACCGTGATATTGCTGGAATATTGCTAAAAGTGGCATAGAATATAAAACTCACTCACTCCATGGAGATTGCAATGACAGGTGGACTACGGGGTAATCCTCATCATGCTCATTAGTCAGTAGGAGCTGGAGTCTCCTTCATCTCTAAAGTCCAAGGGTCTTGTGAAGCTTTAGCAGTCATGTCACATTTAGTCATGCTCAACATTTGACAGTCATGAGTATAACACATGAGCAACAGTTCAAATTCCATGTCAGATGGAGAGAGACACGTGTGGAAAGTTTACACAGATTCTGGTCATAAAGTGCATAAAACACTACCTCCGAGATCACAAAAACTAAAGTACATATATACCATAATAAACAAATATGGCGCAAAGATGAATTAGCAAGGTTGTCATTAAACACCATTTAGGAGATAAACATACTGTGTTTTCAATGTAGAGCTAGGTTACCTGTAGATTAAACTGCGCTAAATTGAATTTGGAATCAAATGTGCAGCGTGAGGTTTCAAATGTTAAATGCCGCCGTCAAACCAGCTGTTTGAATCAGAGGGGGTTGATTGTGATTTAATAGCCTGTGATTGACCAATCAGAATCGAGTAATTTCAAAATTCATGGGAGAATAAATGATATATCC